CAAGCTCGCCCTGCACAGTTCATAGGTACAGCCCCTTTCAGTCCCCCACCAACTCGCCTGTTAGTGCGTGAGCCAGACAGATGAGCGGCAGCCAGAGGCAGCGGCGACCGGACACCGCCATGGCGGCGACCTGTGTGGCCTCTTGTGACCTCGGACGACCTCTGATGAGCTATTGCGGCGCGTTGTGGGGCGTGGCTGGCGGTCGGCGATGCGAGAGGCGCGACACTGCAACTCATCCCATGTGATGTGCCGCAGTCGACTATCAAACCAGCCGGCTCTATCTCACTTTGTCAGCAAGAGGTGCGGCTGACCATTGATGATTCTATCAGCTCTCTTATGCTCCATTCCGACACTGGCGCCATTGTCCCCATTTGTGTCCAATGTCCATCCAAGGGTCACTGTCGTATATTTGTCCTCCCACTGATAACCTGAGTGTCGACACCCCGACAGTATGTCACCTGAGTGTCCCCCGAGACTTTCTGTCAGCTGAGTGTCCCCTCGACACCCTGACAATCTGTCACCTGAGTACATTCTGTCACATGAGTGTCCCTCGACAGTCACTGTCACCTGAGAGTCCCCCGGGCATTCACTGTCACCTGAGTGTCCCTCGACAGTCACTGTTACCTGGGTGTCCCGGCGATCACTCTCACCAGAGTGTCCCCCGGGCATTCAATGTCACCTGAGTGTCCCCCGGCAGTCACTGTCACCGGAGTGTTCTCCGACATTCTGTCACCTGAGTGTCCCCGGCGATCATTCTCACCAGATTGATCCCGGCGATCACTGTCACACGGGCGCTACTCACCCCATTCCCCTCACCCCGTCCCCGTCCCCGTCCCCGTCCCCGTCACAGTCCCCCATCACATCACCCGTCTCCGTACAGTTTCCTACTACCACCCTGTCCCCGTATATACAGTCCCCGCCACCGTCCGTGTCACCGTCAGTCCCCTGTTACGAGTATATCCTTGCCCCGGACTCGTTTTGTCCGCTACTCCCCTTCCTGTTTCATTCTGGGTCACCTTTCCAGTCCTCTGCTACTGATTCTTAGCTCAGTTCCGCCTGGTTTTCATGTGTTTATAATCACAAGTGTGGCATCGCATTAAGTCTATGACTGGTGTCCCTCCTTGTCCATTTCATTATCCCACCTCTTCATGTTTTGTGAAAACATTTAGAGCTAGAAAAGTGCAATGCTTATCATATTATCATTTATTGCGTATAACAGCATTGTTACAATTCACGAGCTTTTACAACCATTACATGTATGTACAATAAAGCTTACTGCTTGCTCTAGCGCTTCCTTATCATCGGTGTTTGCACGTTCAGTGCGAGCCCACAATGGTACCCAGCACAATAACATGAAGCGTGGTAGTTACCTAAAAATAAATCATGGAAATATCGCGAGGCTTGCATCCGTCAGTGGATATTTTGCTGCGGTCGGCTTCATTCTTTGACCTGAGGTCACCATTCACCGATCGGTCACTGCGATCACCGAGCGGCTGAAGGTGGGTCACTGCGCACCATGGCTGGATTCCTTCTGGTCACTGCGTGGTCACGGCTAGCCGACTGCTCATTAGCAGCCCGAGCATCTCACATTACCGAACGGTCACCGCACGGTCGTCTCTGGGCCACTGTTCGGTCACTTCATTTCACTGGACATCACCGAGTCTCTGGTGACCTGCTGCTGACCTGCTCTCGGACCTGCTGACCCGGTCTCAGACGGGACCGGCTGAATGGTGGCAGTCCTGGCTCCTCAGTCAGTGGGCTGATCAGTAGGCGTTATAGAACTCCCGTCGCGGCGTCTGCTGCGGCTCGCTGCCCGGCGGTCGACTGTATGCGCCCGCGGGATGGCTCCCTGGTACAGCCGGTCGTAGCCCTCAGGCTCGGGGACGGGTGCGGGTGCGGGCGCGCGCCGCCGGCCGACCGGTCGTTCCACCAGCTCGGTGGTGTCCGTGTCGGCCGGCCGGTAGCCGGCGTTCACCCGGCCCGTGACGGTCGGCCGGGGCCGCCGGCGACGCGGCGGGGTGCGCACGGAACGGTGCACCGTCAGTGCTACTCCCACCAGTGTGCCCACGGCCAGTAAACAGCTGAGGGTGATGAGAGCGATCACAAACGGAGAGCTGAGAGCCAGCGAGGGCAGCGGCGTCGGCGTCGGGTTGACGATGTTGTCGATAATGTCGTCGGCCTTGTCGACGGACTTCTCAGCGTTCTTAATAGACACCTGTACCGAATTCTTCTGGTCATCCGTAAACTGAGTCTGATTGTTTTTGACACAGTCGACTGTATTGTTGACTTTGGTTGTGCTGTCAACGAGCGCATCCCGCGTTTCCTCTGTAAACTCTTCATGGGCAACCTTTCCAGGGCCTGGCTGGCATTTCAGTATCTCATTCACCTCGTTTGGTGTCGGACAGTCGTTGTCGGACTCCGCTACCCGATACAGCAAATTTTGCATATGAGATACTCGCGCAGCTTGCATGGCAGCTGACTGTGGTTCAGTAGTGGGAGGGTTCGTGGAAGACGGGTTGGGTGGTTCAGTAGTGGGAGGGTTCGTGGAAGACGGGTTGGGTGGTTCAGTAGTGGGAGGGTTCGTGGAAGACGGGTTGGGTGGTTCAGTAGTGGGAGGGATCGTGGAAGACGGGTTGGGTGGTTCAGTAGTGGGAGGGTTCGTGGAAGACGGGTTGGGTGGTTCAGTAGTGGGAGGGTTCGTGGAAGACGGGTTGGGTGGTTCAGTAGTGGGAGGGTTCGTGGAAGACGGGTTGGGTGGTTCAGTAGTGGGAGGGTTCGTGGAAGACGGGTTGGGTGGTTCAGTAGTGGGAGGGTTCGTGGAAGACGGGTTAGGTGGTTCAGTAGTGGGAGGGTTCGTGGAAGACGGGTTGGGTGGTTCAGTAGTGGGAGGGTTCGTGGAAGACGGGCTGGGTGGTTCAGTAGTGGGAGGGTTCGTGGAAGACGGGTTGGGTGGTTCAGTAGTGGGAGGGTTCGTGGAAGACGGGTTGGGTGGTTCAGTAGTGGGAGGGTTCGTGGAAGACGGGTTGGGTGGTTCAGTAGTGGGAGGGTTCGTGGAAGACGGGTTGGGTGGTTCAGTAGTGGGAGGGTTCGTGGAAGACGGGTTGGGTGTTTCAGTAGTGGGAGGGTTCGTGGAAGACGGTTTGGGTGGTTCAGTAGTGGGAGGGTTCGTGGAAGACGGGTTGGGTGGTTCAGTAGTGGGAGGGTTCGTGGAAGACGGGTTGGGTGGTTCAGTAGTGGGAGGGTTCGTGGAAGACGGGTTGGGTGGTTCAGTAGTGGGAGGGTTCGTGGAAGACGGGTTGGGTGGTTCAGTAGTGGGAGGGTTCGTGGAAGACGGGTTGGGTGGTTCAGTAGTGGGAGGGTTCGTGGAAGACGGGTTGGGTGGTTCGGTAGTGGGAGGGTTCGTGGAAGACGGGTTGGGTGGTTCAGTAGTGGGAGGGTTCGTGGAAGACGGGTTGGGTGGTTCAGTAGTGGGAGGGTTCGTGGAAGACGGGTTGGGTGGTTCAGTAGTGGTAGGGTTCGTGGAAGACGGGTTGGGTGGTTCTAGTGGGAGGGTTCGTGGAAGACGGGTTGGGTGGTTCAGTAGTGGGAGGGTTCGTGGAAGACGGGTTGGGTGGTTCAGTAGTGGGAGGGTTCGTGGAAGACGGGTTGGGTGGTTCAGTAGTGGGAGGGTTCGTGGAAGACGGGTTGGGTGGTTCAGTAGTGGGAGGGTTCGTGGAAGACGGGTTGGGTGGTTCAGTAGTGGGAGGGTTCGTGGAAGACGGGTTGGGTGGTTCAGTAGTGGGAGGGTTCGTGGAAGACGGGTTGGGTGGTTCTAGTGGGAGGGTTCGTGGAAGACGGGTTGGGTGGTTCAGTAGTGGGAGGGTTCGTGGAAGACGGGTTGGGTGGTTCAGTAGTGGGAGGGTTCGTGGAAGACGGGTTGGGTGGTTCAGTAGTGGGAGGGTTCGTGGAAGACGGGTTGGGTGGTTCAGTAGTGGTTGAAGACGTTGGGTGGTTTGGCGAAGTGGGCGTGGAAGCTGTCTGAGAGGTCGAAGCAGTGGTTGCAGCGCTGGTTGACGATGGTAGCACGATGGTGCTGGCCTCTTGCACCGCTGTGTCCAGCTGCTCCAACGAGGAGGACAGCACCTGGACCTGTCGGTTGATGTCTTCGAACAGCGTGCTCGGAGTCAGCGTTGGCCGCTCCGCCTGAGCCGGTCGTGGCACGCGGCACCTGTGACAGTCGGAATGGACGCCGTCAGAGATGGACGGACTCCGGGGGAACGCACGGAATGGCTCCAAAGGAACGAACGGCCGGCTGTGAGGGCGGGATGGGCCAGCTTGGAGGATGGGAATGGCTGGCTGGAATGGCGTGATGGGCCGGCTGGGAGGGAGGGACGGGCCGGCTGGGAGGGAGGGACGGGCCTGTATGGAGGGAAGGACGGACAGTATGAAGGGAGGGACGTGCTTGTAGGGAGGGAAGGCTGGCCGGATGGGAGGGAGCACTGGCCGGCTGGGAGGGGATGGTCCAGTATAGTGGAAGGGATGGACCAGTATGGAGGGGGGGACACGTTTGTATGGAGGGAAGGCGGAGCGGATGGGAGGGAGGGATGGTCCAGTATAGTGGAAGGGATGGACCAGTATGGAGGGAGGGACACGTTTGTATGGAGGGAAGGTTGGGAGGGAGGACTGGCCGGCTGGGAGGGAGTGACAGACATACGGACATACGAATAGACCTAAACAACTTCCTAATGCATCAGTATCAGCTGACGGTGTACATACGTAAGCACGACTATGTTACACGTCACTATGAAGGGTCGCCGAGGCTGTGCTTTCAGAGGGATGGCCGCACATTCAGGTCTTATTACACGGTAAGTCTGAGGGTAGTGGGCGCAGGCAGGTGGCAGGCTTGGCGACTCTGCACGCGCCGAGTTAGCGCTGTTGTGTGAGCCCGTGGCCGGAGGTTGGAGACTGGTATAGCAGGTTTAGTTTATGAATGACATTTCATGATGGCCAATTTGAATGCTATTACAGAGAGAACGAATTGAGATACCACAAAATGCACACAGCCCTGACATGTTGGACCACTAGGCGCTAGATCACGTAAGCCCGCCCTGCCCACAGCCCCTATTATCCCCCACCAACTCGCCTGTTTGGGCGTACACCAGACAGATGAGGGCTACACGGAGGTAGCGGCGACTGGACACCGCCATGGCGGCCACCTGTGTGACCTCTTGTGACCTCGGACGACCTCTGATGACCTGTTGCGGGGCGGGGCGGAGCTGGCGGTCGGCGGCGCGGACGGCTCGACACTGCGGCAGCCGTCCGCAGTCGACTATCAGGCCGGCCGGCACTATCTAACTTCAGTCAGAGGCTCGGCCGACCTCACTATCAGCTCCCAGGCTCGGCCCTTACCGGGGCCGTACTGACGCTGACGCTACTGTTACCTGGGTCGCCCCCGAGACGGGCACTGCCACATAACTAAGTGTCTCCCGACGGTCACTGCCACATAAGTGTCTCCCGACGGTCACTGCCACATAAGTGTCTCCCGGCGGTCGCTGGCGCATAGGTGTCCCGCTGGCGGCTACTATCACATAAGTGTCTCCCGGCGGGTACTTCATATGGGTGTCCCTCCTGCGGTCACTGTCACCTGAGTGTTCTCCGGGGGCGGTTACTGTCACCTGAGTGTTTCCCGGGCGGTTACTGTCACCTGAGTGTTCCCCGGGCGGTTACTGCCACATCAGTGTCCTCCGGAGTGTCCCCCGCCGGTCACTGTCATCCCAAATGTCTACCGCTATCGTTTGGGCGACCCCTTACTACAGCTTAACATGAAGTGTAAAGTAACTAGGAGCAGTAATTGTGCATGCAGTTTGTGTGCAGAAAAGTACACTTAGTCGCACTAAATGGCAAGTGTACCAAATAAATGGCAAGCACTAAATGGCCAAAAAGACACCGTACTCGTAAGTGTGCACTGAAATTAGATCATTATTATGTCAATTGTCAACGCTACGTGTCCCTAATTTGATTTAAAAACTTTAATTCATGCCAATTAAGTGAACATCTTACGCTTCTGATAATGATAAAGCTTCATGTAAACTGCACTGCACCCGGTGGGGCAAACCGATTAGGACGATCGAGGTACAACCCTGTCGACGGGCATAGCTGCCCCACTTCAGTTCGTGGTTCGATAACTGCTGCTGATCGAAGTGCCATAATCTGTCAGTGAGCTTAGCAGTTATTGTTCGCAGCAAGAGGTGCCGACTCGGACATCTAGTGAATCCAGCTGATGATTGAGTTCCACATTCTTCCATCATTGTTCCGTGATGTAAATTATGACACTGACGCTGACACGTCACACATTCGAAGTGACGTGCACGCGCCAGCTCATTCGATGTGCCGCCCACTTAGTTGACGAACATGGACTACGAGCTTATATGTCACCTGCGTCACTCCCGAACCAATGACGTCATCAACTATCGTGGTCACACGGTGTGATACTACGTCATTGTTGATGGCGTAGCCTTTATAAAAGAGTAATATTTCCGCGAGTTCACTTTTTAGATAAGTGGCGTTGAATCGCGTAACATTGGGACTCCTAATCACGATCACATTGCCACACATGCAGTTTCACCGCCAGCGATGCGTCGTGTTGATAAACCCACTCGATTCGAGAACCCTCTCAGGTCTTCGAGCCTCGTGTTTGTAATACGATACACACGCTCGCACGCACGGCTGACCAATACGACTGCCATCTAGCCCTGAGCCCTGCCCTCAGGGTGAGCTCTCACATCTCTTCTGACCAGAGTCGCCCATGACATCTGACATACTGGGTCTACGGGGTGACCCTACGTGATGAAGGTTACCCTGATGCCAAGATCACTGACCGCACGATGATCTTGGCAGTTGACCTCTAGCTGCAGGGTGACATTGATAAGTGACCTCTGACTTCTGCCCTCAGGATGACCTTGGTAACTGACCTTTGACCTCTGACCCCTATCCGCAGATTGACGTTGTAGCTAACTTCTGACCTCTACCCGCAGCTTGACCTTGGTAACTGACCTCTGACCCCTGCCCTCAGGGTGACCTTGGTAACTGACCTCTGACCCCGCTAGCAGAGTGACCCTGGTAACTGACCTCTGACCTCTACCCGCAGCTTGACCTTGGTAACTGACCTCTGACCCCTGCCCTCAGGGTGACCTGGGTAACTGACCTCTGACCCCTGCCCTCAGGGTGACCTGGGTGAAGCCAATGAGGACGTGACGCAGCACGTGGTTGTGATTGGCGCCGGCGCGCCCAAGTGGGCCTGGCTCATGTCCCGCCTGGTGGCCTTTACATCCGAGGGCAGCGTGCTCATCTTCGTCACCAGGAAGGTCAGTGATCCTGTGACGCCAGGTAACTGATGTAACTCCTACCGTGACGTCAGTTTTTAGCGACAGTCATCGTCAAATCTGCGGTTAGATCACAAACGTACACCTGTTAGATCACAAATCTGCGGTTAGATCACAAACGTACACCTGTCAGTCTCGTGTGTTTTTTGCCTCTCAATTATTTGGCCCTATGCCCAAGAGCGTCATGATTGTAACTACTCTTCCAGTCTCTTAGTCCGTGTTTGTTATTATTAGTATTCTGAAATACCAGCTCATTTTTGATGAGTTTATCAGTTGCCAATTCAAGACTTTATGCTCTATATTTCTTCTTGCTTTGTTCGCTCATTTCTCGCTAAGTCTCATCATAGACGCAATAAATCGAGTGCAAAGCCACATCCCAAAAACCGAGTCATGATGCGGAGCTGGTTGGACTTTGATGCAGACCGGGACGGCCTTCCACCGGCTATCGCCGGGGTCGTTGTGATATCCTCAGCGACTCTGTCATACCTCTGTTTGCTCGGCTATGACGTAGGTGTTTCACCTGCTATCATTGACAGCAAACAGTATGGATTTATGCCGGCTATCATGAGCTATGAGTAGGGTACCAACGGCCGTCTCGATCCGGGTCTATTGCACTGCAATAGTCAGCGGATTATAAACCGGATGTTGCGTCTTGGCAAAGTCCTGACTGTTGTCAAACTGGATGTCTTTTTCTGTCTTATAATTATTTGATACGCTGGCCGATTTGTTGCATATGAGCCGAGTTCTGGCTGTCCCGCCCCATTCCCCCCTGTCATGCATGCACGAAACGATAATGCGTTTGTGTCGATGAATGTGTCGATAGGCGAACAGTGAAGAGCTGGCCAATAACCTGAGGAAGCAGGACTTCAAACTGGAGCTGATTCATGGAGACATTGATCAGGTAAGCGATGATGTGTTGCAGTCATGAGACATGCTATGGCACAATGAGAGATGCTAAGCTAGCGCTAGTCACCATCAAGTGTAAATCCTGTTCGATAGTGATTGCTGCATTTTGTAAGAAACGCCAGAAAATAGCACAAACCTCATGGTGACGCATCATTGCGTGGTCATCATTTTGGTCCCGTAGCTCAGTTGGTAGAGCGTTGGACTCCGCGTGGTGAGAGCACGCGTTCCCGGTTATAACAGTCCGGGTTCGAAGCGCGACGGGCGCTTAACATTTATGGGCCTCCTGACAGGTATGGTTGCGGTTGGTGGCAGGCCGTAGCCAGGCGAAGTCAGTGAGGGGACCGGCCGTGCGCGGCTATGTGCGCACGTTAAACTTCGGGCTCTAAATTCTGCCATAGAACTGGAATTGCGCGATCGGAGGGTAGAGGGCAGGGTCACCGCAATAAGCTTCGCTTAGTGGTGGCTCTGTCCTTGTGAATCCTTCCTATCAAAAGGTTCGGACTAAATTTATATAAAAAATATCGAACCGGCGGAGAGTTTTTAATGCGCTCACTTCGTTAGTCGTATTGTATTCACTTGTCTGATTATCTCGTTTAATGCCGTCAGTAGCCACTTTGTTGTGTGCTTATAATAGACAGCCGTTCTGGGACCTAGTCTGCCATCTGACCACTCTGACAGCTAACCCGATCTGACCTGATCTGACCCGAGCTGACTTTCTCTGCCCTGTGTGCCCAGTCGGAGCGGAATCGAATCATCACAGCGTTCAAGCAGAAGTCGGTGCCGATCCTGGTTGCCACAGACGTGGCGGCCCGAGGTCTCGACATCCCGCATATTCGTACAGTCGTAAACTATGACGTGGCGCGGGATATTGACACGCACACGCACCGTATCGGCCGAACAGGTAACTACGACGGGTGGTTGAGGGATAAAGGGGATGGCGTGGGCGAGATTGATATACCCGCTCTTTTTATACGCCAATAGGGTTTCTTAGTTGACTTTAGAGCACTATGTTGTTTTTTTTATCAATATGTTGAAGGTTTAGTATCACTAAGATCCCTACGTAATTCTTTGATACGTAGCACGAGCAATTTACTCACTCGCAGTAGTTTTTTTATAGTGGGGCGCCTACGTCAGTACCTGACACTAATAGTGATCCACCATATTATCATTGAGTGTTACCATTGATAACAGTTACTTACGTCACTTGTAATCTGATCGACTGACCCCTGCACCCTCCCGTCTACCCCACAGGTCGAGCCGGCCAGAAGGGATCGGCCTACACTCTCATCACGACCAAGGACAAGGACTTTGCCGGCCACCTGGTGCGAAACCTGGAGGGCGCTGGCCAGGACGTGCCTGAGCAACTGATGGAGCTGGCAATGCAGGTGCGCGGATGGGGAACGGCAGAGCCGCTGGTGGCGGAATATGATCAGCTCTCACTGGGGACGGCAGTTTCTACTGTGGGCTGAGCATATCGCGGGGGATAGAGACACTGACAGCGCACCACTTTGTGTGCCGTATAGTGGCGGGGACAGTGGAGCATAGGGTCATTCTAAACCTAATTTACCTGTGTGATGCATATACGAGTATGGCGGGAGGGGGGGGGGGGGCAGGAAAATGATTGAAACTTGGCGTACGGAGAGAAGAGGCGGTAGCCACCGTGAGGCGCGGTGCCTGTAGATTTCTGGAGACTTCTCGAGAGACTCCCGCTCGACAGCGAGATAGCAGACCGGCTTATCTGTTTGCCGACTTGTCCTATCTGGCTACCAGCCGAGGTGACGAGAGCTGTTGATTCAGTGAAGTTCAGCGTAAAATGGAGCCGACTATCTATCTGACGTGTCGTTTTTATAAGTGCCATTCAAAGGTACAAATTCCGGTACGGTCTAGTTATGAAGAAACTAAACTAGCTAAAATTACCTAAGATATCTAAATTTATTTCATTTTTTAAGTCAAAATGAAGTAAACGATGAATTAAATAAATTGGTTCACTGAATTAAGCCGAGCTTCCGCCGAATGCCTGTCCCTGATTCTCTTTTTATCTATCATGGCACAGGAACATGGATGTTTACATTCTCTGCCATCTCCCCCTGGTGTTATGCAGTTATGCACACTCGTAACACCCACCCCTTTATTTCTCCCAACTCCCCATTGAGCGCCTGGCAACATCCTGTGGCTATTTTCAGAACGCCTGGTTCCGCAAGTCACGCTTCAAGTCAGGCGAAGGCAAGAACTTGAACGTGGGAGGTCGCGGCCTGGGCTACCGCGAGCGGCCCGGCCTGGCAGCGCCCTCAGAACCCACAGAGGTAAGATGGGGAAAAGGGAGGGGGAGGAAGGGGACCCACCATAGGTAAGCTGGGGGAAAGGGGACACTAGGGTATGAATAACTGAGCTCTATCTAACGGGCAGTCATAAGGCCAAGTCCGCTGGTGGGACTTTTTGTAGTTCATTACTCATTTGTGTTAGTCAAGCAAACAGTTCTCATAATTCTCAGACTGAATGTACGTAACCGTGCTGCGTTTTTTACCTCCCTTGTCGCTGGGAACAGCGTGACCGTTCAGGGTACAACTATCCACGGAATGTTCAGTGCCTAATCAACAGATAACCAACTGCGCTTGTGTTTTGGTTATGTGGTATGCACTATGCGCCGTGACTGTTGCCCATGTGAGTGAATTAGGGAACGGTTAGTGGTCTGACCGTTTGCAGGTGTATAATATGATAGAGGTCTGACTGCTGCAGTGTGTATGATTATGCAATGGCAATATACATACGGTAATATGGTAGTCGTGGTCTGTCCCGTCCGACCGATCTGGTTTATATGATACGCTGCACTGGCCTGACAGTTGGCCCCGTTTTACACGGTGATCTAATCTGCCCCGTGCCCCCTCAGCCGGCGCCTCTGCTCGGTAACTAACCTGTCCCCCGTTCCCCTCAGCCGGCCGCGGCGCCTGTGGGCGGTACGTATGGCGCCCCGGCGGCCGAACAAGTGCACCAGGCCGGACCACCGGACAGTAACGCACCCAGCGGCCGCGGTCCGGCCAGCGAGCGGCTCTCGGCCATGAAACAGGCCTTCAAGGCACAGTACATGTCAACGGTGAGTCAGAGAGGGGAGAGGGATAGTCGGCTGGCACGTTAGACTTGCTTTTGACTGTGATATGCCGTATACCCGTTTGATTGTGATATGGGTCCACAGTTGGGTTCACTACATATGGGTCTGTACCAGTCGCACTTCCTAACACCTCTAAACTCCTCCAAGAGCAAGATAGAGGAGGTTGGAGCAGGGCCCTCCTTGGCTTTGTAGAGGCTGGAGCTGCCACTGGAACATGGAAGCAATCTTGGAGGAGTTTAGAGGTGTTAAAAAGTGCGACTGGAACAGACCCTATGACTATGAATGTATGATGAGGGGGCAAATGTGCCGAGCCATTGTCATGCTCCTTTCCTAACTCCAATAGTTTTTCCCTCTTTCTGACGTGTCCTCCTTTCCCCGCAGTTCACGGCCGCGAAGGACACCTCCTGGCAAAAGACCAACTACCCCGGCTTCGTGTCGACGGGCACCGGCGGTGCGTCGGCGTCCACCGACCAGTCGTCGATCGACGGGGAGCAGCCCAAACGACGGAAAAAGAGCCGCTGGGAGTGAGGGGCGCCGACGCTGCAGAGACGGACAGGTCCCGTGTGGAGACGGGCGGGAACGACTGATAGTCCAGGAGGGACGGATTTGCACATCGGACGGGTGGGACTGTGTGGCTGGATGGAGAAGGGAAGCGGTGCCTAGAAACGTCGGTAAGCGTGGGAGATAGTCGCACTCCCGCGCTGCTAGCGAGCCTGACGGAAAAGAGCGTGCTCTCAGAGGGTCGAAGCGACTCCTGGGTCGAACCCGGTGAGAAGAAACCGCCCCCGGCTGGCTTCATCCCTAAGCTACAGTTAACGGCCTGTTTAAGGCTTGGTCCGCAATTAATGCCCGATAGAGGACTGAATACGGTCACACGCTCTGCGTGCTGGACAAGTTGCCTGTCGTGTTGTGCAGACTATTTGTATAGTCGTGTGGGTTAATCAACGTTCATCGAGGCTCTGCGTGCTGTTGCTTCAGAGGTTGTCTCGTGGATAACTTCTACACGAGCGAGACCCGCTCCCTGTAACTGGAACGCCTAGTGCGGGAGCCAATACACATCGCACTTCCATCCCAGCTGACTTGTTTGGTGGGAAAATGTTCGGTTCGAGCGGCGACAAGATCTCCAGTCCTTCAAACTCGGAATAAAATCACAAACCATTTATATTTGCCACCGGTAAAATAAATAATTTCGTGCAGCATTCACAGCAGAACCGACGTGCTTGGCACTGTACGGCCCGAAGGCGTCCGATTCTCCCTGCAGGGGGCGTTCGCAGCGCCAGACACCCGTGTAAGATCACTAGCCCCGTCACCGTCCCGGCAGGCAGGCACGCCACAAAGGCAGACAGACATACACACACGGAATTTCCCGCTGGTACAAGGCGGTACTGACAACACCGGACTAGAATAGGACAGGTAGAGACTGGCAGGGGTTACGCGTAGAGAAGCTGTCTTAGTTAGCTGCCGTAACAGTGTGGACGGACGGCCGCAGTCCTGTCTGACTGGGCCTCTGACTGGGCCTCTGACGGTGGGATGTTACCGCCCGCTGTCCGGCCGCCGTCCCGGCTGCGGCGGCAGGCCCTGACGGTCGAGCAGCGCATCGAACCGCTCCAGGTACGGCTGCAGGTCCTCTGAGCAGACGTCACTGCCGGAGACCACCGATCTGGGAAGGCAAGGGGCAAGGGGCAAACGTCAGTGGCAGTGATGAAACATCGCTCCAGTGATTACCTGGAGCGATAACCGGAGCGGGGGTAAAGTCAAGAGTCTGTGCTGTGAGGAGTATCGCTGTCGGCCGTGGCGTGGATCAGTATTCGCTTCATTTGACGCTACATGCGCGCCGCATAAGTTGTCATCCCTATGTCAAGGTCAATCAAATAATATCAACCCCAATGATAAACATTGAACATGATCGTACCCTTCATTAGCATCTCACCTGACGTCGAACTGGACATCGGGCACCGATCGGGGACACTCTCTGACAATGTCACCCGACTCACCTGACGTCGAACTGGACATCGGGCACCGATCGGGGACACTCTCTGACAATGGAACCCGACTCACCTGACGTCGAACTGGACATCGGGCACCGATCGGGGACACTCTCTGACAATGCGTCCCAGCCGGTCGAGCTCAGCGTGCGCGTCGCACGACGAGGCTGACACCAGCGACACAGACGAGTGGGGGCGGGCCGCCGCTGGCGAGATCGGCCGGTCGACGCCGCCTGCCAGCGCTACGGCCGCCCGGCGACCTGACGTGGAGAGAGGGAGGGTCACACAGGGTGTAGTGGGGAGAGGGTACGAGCGTGGTGGTATGTCGCGGATCCCAATTTCCACCGATCCCCATACACCCCTGTACTCTGTACCACCCTGTTCTAGCACAGACCGACTAGACGGATTACCACGGTCTTCCCTGCTCCATCAGCCCGCCAGTACCATCCTGTCCCAGCATTCCCCTCTACATTCCCATATCGTATCTAGTCAACCACCATCTCCCTGTCCAACCGGATTCTCCGTTGATCCCACACGTCCTCCGTCCCATCAGTCCCTCTCATGACTTTTCCTGTGCCACCAATCCCTCCATGTCCTCAAATCCTGAGCACCAAACGCACCTGATTTCCATCTCCCGACCATGAAGTTCATCCTCCGTACGGCCACGACCACCCAGACCGCCGCGCGGAACTTGGCCGCCGGCGAAAGGTAGCGGCGGGCGTCCGTGCGGAACGCTCCGCCCGTCAGCTCGGTCATCCGTCTCAGCGTCAGCACCTCCGTCTCCTGATATCCACCCAGCAGCACCATCAGATACCGCTTCTGCCAGCAGAGCGCGCGCCGGTAGCTCTCGGCGCGCAGGAACCGGCCGTACGCGTACTGCAGCCGCTCGTCGTCTCCATCGCCGACGGCCGGCGCGCGGCGCAGCCGCTCCTGCTCCGTGTCCAGGCGCGCGATGCGCTGCTGTAGTCGCTGGCGCTCCTGACTCCAGGCGGCGCGCTCCTGTTCCAGTCTGGAGCGCCACGGGCCGGAGTCGGCGGAGGGAGCGTCGCCGCGCTGGCCCAGCTCGCGCTCGAGCTCCGAGACGCGCGAACGGAGCCGGTCTACCTCGGCGTTCATGTCGGCGAGACCGGCCATCTGGAGAGACACAAGGGACGGACGGAGAGGGCCGGGGCAAGTTACAAATCGCAGAACAAATCACCGCAGGCTATCGACCACAGAACACTTCCCTACACGATGATCGAGTAAACGCATATCACAAACGGCATTTGTACTCAGCATCGGCCACGCCACCATACTGCCTGTAATGCGCAACTTCCTTTGTTCGTGTATTCTGCGGTAGTTCAATGGCCAGACAACAAAATACACCAACACTGATGGCTGCCAATGATATGGGAATTGGGATGGGATTGGAGGGGACGGAGTCGATGAACACCACACACCACAACACAGGATGGACTCTGTACGACCAATAAACCAACAGACAATATACACCAACACAGTTTAAACACATCACCGCCGTGTCTCGTCTCACCTGCTCCGGTTTCCGCCTCACCGGGGGCTGAGAGGAGCCGCCGCCGCCGGCCGCTGCTGCCTTCCCCTTCAGTCGGTCCCGGAGGACGGCCAGCTCGGTAGTTTTCTCAGCCAGCTGTGCACGAAGTGTTCCCAGCTCTGTGTTGGCCGCCGTCAGCTGAGGCGTACGGACGGCAGTTAAAACGGTGAAAATGGATCGTAGGTGTATTACCAGTTACCACACGGTTGGTGGTGGATGCTCCAGACGTCTCTAGTGACAAAATGTATTCACGCCGACAGACTGATCCATTTAACACACATCCCGGGAATAAGATAAGCCAGAAAGTAAGTGGAAATAAACAAAGCTAAAAATACGAATTTCCAGGTGCCACAGCACAACCGTCCGGCGTTCTCCGTAATTTGCAACAGTTTGTATGACCACATCCAATAGCAGTTTCGTTACACTTTGACGTCAGCTGGTCTGCTGCACTCTCAAAGTCCCTCACTTGTCAACTCTCGAAACGTTGGTAAACTGCCCTTTCACTTAGCAGGCTGCCCCTCCCCCTCTCTCATTCCGCAGACTCTCTCCCCTTCCCTCCTCACCCAGCAGACTTCCCTCCCCTCCCCTTCATCCCATCCCCTCCCTCCCTCCCACCTGTGTTTGCAGCCGGTGCGCCTGGAGCCGCTGCTGCGCCGCCGCGCTGCGCTCCGTCTCCAGCTCCGCCAGCAGCCGGCGCCGCTGCAGCTGCTCGGCAGACAGCTGGCGGCGCAGCTGCACCAGCTGCTCGGCAGCTGGCGGCTCGGCCGGCCGCTCCGGACCGTCACCGGAGCCGTCCGGGGCCGGCGGCGGCGGGACGAGCACGGGCGGCGGCAGGGGAGCCGGCGATGGCGGCTGGGGGGAACATGGCGTGCTGGTCAGAACCACGCGCGACACGTACGGTGTGGCGCAATGGCACACCTAACACGAAATTTACCGTTGAAGAGACTTTATATGAGGAATGCCGAACGCTTATCAGTTGCTAAACGCATCACTGTTAACACCCGCTAACACCAAGCATGACACCGCGTAAATCATACGCTTTGTATCTCCACTACACAATAGCCAATCGATCAAACACCGGCAAAGCTAGCTGCTCTTCGTCCCACACCAACCGACCTGTCTCTCCTGCTGCTGCGGTGGCGCTGGCGATCTGCGTCCGTTCACCCTTCGCTGCTGCTGCTGCTGCTGCTGCTGCTGATTCTGGTGGTCTGTGAGCGCCGCCGCCGACGGCCACGGCTCGATCTGCAGCCGCCCGCTGGTGATGCGCAGTTTGGACTGGTGCTCGGTCTGCAGCCAGCCCTGGAGGGTGTCCACCAGGGCACGCTCCTCCCGCAGTCGCCACTCGAGCAGCTCCACTGCAGACAGAGCGTGGGGTTGATGGGTGAGAGGTGTGGCAGAAGGCAGGTGATGGCAGCTACTTAAAAGATATGCTGTATTGAAAGATACATAAGCAAGGGGCAACAGTCACAGAACAAATTCACAATTGCTGATATCAATGACAACGGCGAACAAAGTTGCACACTCCCGCGATAAGGCAAATGATGACAAACGCATCATCATCACATGGAGCAGCCGCCGCGATTTGAATCCCCTATTACAAACTCTGCTGATCCTAAGAAGCCTGCTGGCGGTCTCCCTCAGAGGTCCCTCGGTACCTTTCTGCCGAAGCTCGTGCTCCGTCTGCCCCGGACCGCCGTTCGGTTGCTCAGAGCCGGCCGAAGAGTCTCCGCCACCGCCGAGGCTGTCCGGGACTAGCAGAGCGGGAGAGTGGCTCCGAACGTAACGCAGCTCAGACAGCGTCAGCACCTGCGACAAACAACGGAAAAGGAAAGGTTCAAAGGTCACACATTATTGCTATATAGAAACAGTACAAACAATATAAAATGCATTCCTACATAGTTTTCAGAATGGTAGTGCATGCATTTTTCGATTTCAGTTGAATGTTGGCTTTTTTGGCTTCTTTCCAGCTAATCACTTTCATCTTGTGTTGACATATAACTGTCCTTTATCTATATAGCTCTTACGATATCACGCTACGGCCCGTGGCCGTCTCTATATTTCACCCACCTCAATGCCCTCTCTGTGCACCCTGTCGAGCAGCGTCTGGAGGCGGCGCGGCGCCTCCCGCTCCGTCTCCTCCATCTCCCGTGGCTCCAGCAGGGCGGTGAGACGCATCTCCAGCTGCCGGCGGCGCCGCTGTTCGTGTCGCCAGCCGGTGGACAGTTGGTGACACCGCTGCTGCAGCGACTCGCACCGCTGCTGCCACTGCACACACGGTGTACAGAGTGTGGAGTCAGATGGACCGACTAGTACGGCGGGCTGAGTCAGTCTGAGGCGGGAAACCATAATCATAGCAAACACCACTTAAAAAAGACGCAGTACTACACAGCTCTACATGGAAAATGAAACATTTATTTCAATCGGTTTGCTATTCTGAAGGTCGCGTTTTTTGTAGCAAATGTGATCCAAAGTGATTCAGCATACAAAGATTATTTGGTAATAGGTACGTCGTTCAGCGGTAGAAAACAAAACAAACACGAGTGATCTCGTTCGTACCCTTTTTCAGACCTATAGCCGTCGTTCGTTCGGCCCCACTCACCAGTACGTCCGTGTTGGGTCCGGGACCGGGATCCCTCTCCGGTCCATCCTCAATCAGAGTCACCGACCGACTCGAGTCCAGCACCGCGCGGGCGCCGCTCAGAGTCACCGTCTGACTCGAGTCGAGCTCAGAGGTCGGCGCGGCGGTCAGATCGGAGAGACTGGAGGCTGACTCAGGCCGCGGACATTCGGCCCGTCTGAAAACGATCCGGGGTGCGTCACGATTGGAAACAGTGTCGTGACAGAGCCAGTGGTGATAAGTAGATGACACCGAGGACCTCATATCATGATCACACATAAAATTTTACGAAAGTACAAAGGCTAGATGATAAGGAGCAGCAGCTACGGTTATATTTTCCCTGAGCTGCCAGATACACGTTACGATATATTCATTAAAGTGGCCAGCTCTTCTTAAATTGATTGGGAAAGGCGACTTTTCAAGTCAATGCATCAATGCATAGCAATTCAGAGGTTCATACCTGGTCAATTCCGGTTCCGGCAGCGGCGTGACGCTCCGGTCCGACTCAGGCTCGGCTCCTGAGCGACGGCTTCTCGTGAGTCTCTGAGATGACTGGGGCAGAAAAACAACAAACACAGTCAACTGACTTGACGGCACAAATAAATACCTAAATAAAAATCACAATCGGTAAACAAAGCTTGCCAACAAACCATTGGAGACGGTTCGATTACACTACCGATCAGTCAAATTACTGGACTAGGGTTCAGAATCGACGATGTTCCATTTTACAATTATATTTTGGTTGCCATTCCACCTCCCAGCGGTACCGGTGGCAGCGCCTTATTTACGTCTCATGACCCACCAAATCGTTCCCCTCCCCAGTCCCCGTACCTTCATAGCCAACCCACCCTGCTATGCCTTTCCCTCACCTGTCTACGTTCCGCCGCGTCGGCCACCGCTGTCGTCAGCCGATCAATCTCAGCCTGTCTCTGCCTCAGCTCAGTCTCCAGCGAGTTCACCTGAGCCACCAGCCTGTCCACATGTCCATCCCGCTCCTCCGCCGCTCTCTCCAGCTCCTCGGCTCTCTCCCTCAGCCGCTCTGCCTGGGTATCCCTCTCACTAACCGCCTCCTCTAGTGATGTGACTTTCTTCTGTAGCTGACGGCGGCGCCTCTCGGCAGTCGCGGCCTCCTTCTGTAGGCTCTCCACCCGCGCTGACAGATCCCGCGCGTGCTCCTCTCGCTCTGCGGCCGTCCGCTCTGCCTCCGCTAGCCGTCCCTGGAGCTGTCGCTCCGTGTCGGTGAGCTGGCCGGCTGTCTGGCGCAGCTGCTCGTCCCGCCGCGCCAGCTCCGTCTCGGCGGTCTGCAGTCGGGCAGTGAGCAGCCGTTCAGACTCCTCTCTGTCACGCGCCTGGCGCTGTAGCTCCGCTTCGCTCTGTTCGCGGCTCTGGAGAGTGACGCGGAGCTGCGCCTCGGTCTGTTCGCGGGTTTGCAGATTGGCACGGAGCTCTGCCTCGTTTCGTTCGCGGGACTGGAGATTTGCACGGAGCTGCGCCTCGTTGTGTTCGCGGCTCTGCAGAGTGGCGCGAAGCTCCGCCAGCTCAGCCGACTGCGCCCGGCAGCTCTGCTCCAGTGTCTGGACACGATTTTGCAACTCCTGTTGGGACAAGGGTTAAGTTAGACGGGCTTCGAAAATCACTTCTCAATAGCGTACAGCGTATCAAAGCATATAAATGAACTGTCAACAGTGAAAACATACCTTTAACGCACTTTTTATTTAACTGCACTGCCGAATTTATGTTGCAAGTATCAACGGTCAGATAACATACAAGCTTTACCCATAAATGTTGGATACAAACCATTGCCGTTTGAGAAAAGGCAATGCTCAATTACTAAATCACCCTGTCACAAATCACGAGTCAGCACAACTCCCGATACGCATTATGCATCCCGGCCTGGCTTCCCACTCCCAGTTCCCATAGGCTGTCGTCACCACCAGCAGGTCGCATAAATGTCCGTTCGGTTGTCGCACATGCAGTCAGTCTTTGCGATGTCCATGCGCACACACCAGAAGTAGAGAGGCAGTCTGGTTGATTAGGTGGTACCGACATGCAGCGGTAACCTGAGTAGGATGGTCCAAGGAGATAGGAGAGACAGAAGGGTAGAAGGCGCTGAAATGTCACCCAACTGCGGTAGAAAAGAATACACGTTAGCACAAAGACACGATCGGAAATGTTAAACGGAAAAAACGACATAGCAGCTCACTTTAAACAAATTGGATCCCAATGCCAAAATACACTGAATACCCATTGACTAAAATTATGACGATCCATTGCTGCAATAAATTCACAGGTGAATGTTATAAGTTACGGTAAAAAAATGTTGAATCCGCAACAGCTCAAACAACAACACGCAAATGGCCACTTGGCATATACGGTGGATCGAAATGCGACCATCACTGTGGCAGTATTGCAGCCTGTCATACGCTCACATTGATAAATCTTGACTGGCGAAACCGCTGAGGCGCTGACGCTGAGAAAACTGCTACGGTCAGTTGACATGCACGCAAACATCTCGGTATAGTTAGTACACATTCAGCATGGCATATCACACAGACAGGCGATTGAGCTACTGTTCATGTTTGCACCGACCAAACACAGCCACACAGACAACCACATCACAGACTCCGTCCCCGTCCAGGGACCCGGGGTTCCCAAGGACCCATACCTTACTTTTTTTACTTAGACTTTTTCGTCGACTCCATCTAGTAAATGCAGGATCATTTCTGATCGTCTTCCAATTCTGATCGTCTTCCAATACCACACAAACGCATACATAACAACATATAAACGCCTCCAGTTCAGCAGTTCATTTTCATACAAGGCGACCTTCAGAATAAATATATCTCCGTAGTGTAATCAATAATCATCGGAACTCATCATCATCACTGATATCAAAGTAATCAAACAACACCAGTAGTTCTTCTGCCTTGGTGAGGACACTACCCTGTCCTCAATATTCACAGTAATCTACTCCGTCCTCCCCCATGTCCTCATTCCTCACCTCGTCGAGCAGCGAGCGGCACGAGGACTGAGAGTCGATCCCAGCACCGCACGTGGAGCCGGCCCGCTCCGTACCCGACTCGAAGGCCGATTCGTCTCCAGTCTCAGTGGCCTCGTCCTGTCGCCACATCGGTCAGAAATCGGGGCCGAACAGCACAGCATAGGTCTTTTACAGGCTACCACAGGAGGAGCGATATAAAATTATGGTTTACCTACCAACCAGGCCAGAGCTGTAACTCCCATGACCACCACGCGTATTTCATAAATATCGATATAGCACAAAAGCTAAAATGAATCGCTAAAATGGCTAAAACACATCAGGAAGCATTTCATTTTTTACGCATTAGTGGTCGGACTGACCTGGGCCCAATCTTACCAATACCGTACATTGGATTTGGCAGCACTGGCCGGAGTTTACGGCACTTATATCAAGTATATCCTTTTTATTTACATCCCGCTAATCTTGTCCAATGATTTGGATAGCGTGAATGATTATGGATGTCGCCTGAACGAACTGAACGTGAAGCGCATTCACGGCATTTAGTAAGATTGGGCCCTGGTTTGGACGTCAGTCAAACTAACGTGGTAGACGGAATGGCAGTTACACTGACCTGGTACACGGACTGGTAGGCGGACCGGTAGCTGGGCTGGCGCTCCGATGACCGCGGGCTGTGTAGCGGAGTGGACGCGGTGCTGAACGGCGGACTGTGCGGCACACTGCGCGGGCTGCTGTGCGGCACACTGTGCGCCTCACTGTGCGGCGGCAGACTGCGGTCGGCCGGCGACACAGCCGTCTCCGGCATCTCGGACATGTAGCCAGACGAGGCCGGCTCAGAGTCCGGACCGCGGCGGTCCGGCTCCTCCTGTCAGTCGCCGCGGTATGGTCCGTGCGACACGGTACGGCACGACGTAGTACGGCCCGTACGATACGGAATAGTACGGCGTGGTAAGGCCCAGCAGAGGTCGCAGCAACAACAGCGGAGGACGTAGCCGAGACAGCAGCGGCGGCGCCCGCCACGGTGAAGTTGAACCAGCCGTGGCGACAGTCGTGGCGATGGCGGTGATGGTAGCGGTGATGGCGGTGGTAGTGACGATGGATGAAGTCACACCAGGCACGAAGTAACATGCACGGAAGGACAGAGGAACAGACAGTACCCGGTAAGGTAAGGTAAGGTAAGGTAAGGTAAGGTAAGAATCAGGTCAAGGGTCAAATGCCGGAAGGAATGGGTAGTTAGTGTCGGTTACAAGCACACACTAGTACGGGGACCCGCAGTTGCTACTGTACAGCGACCCTGAGTAAATTGTCCCAGCACCCTCACAGGGAACAACGATAAGCTGTCAGAGGGCACGCACAGAAAACCTCACCTGCTCTTGTACAGGGACCGGCAGTCGATATCAATGTTATCGGTTGTTACTGGACAGGACAGACGGCTAGAGTTGGGGTTCATGTACAGAAGCAACTGCAGGTCCCCGTACCAATAGTAGTACCAATAGAAAACAATCCATAGAATGATACTAAATAATTGTTATTCGGTGCATACGTTAGTACGAAAGACTGAGAAGAGAGCATGCAAAGGACAGTAATACGAAGAAACTACTCAGAGATGTTACAGTCCGAGATTGGAGGCTGAGCCCAGCTATTTTACAAACTAACTCTGCTCCTGATGCACCCCTTTGTCAGTCCGTCAGTGAGTCAGTCGGGTTTATTGGTACTTGAAATGAAAGCGACGCAGAAAACCCACACGTAAGCACAAAGTCAATATTCTTGCGAAGACTCTCAAGGAATCATGCCGTAATCTCCGCGTTAGTTTCCCGGCCCGTTCACCTTACCTGCCCTCCCCACCTCCGACCACGTCTCACACCCCAGTCTTACCTGATGCGCGTGTCTCTGACTCCTGGCCAGCAGAGCCGAGGCCTCGTGCATCTTGCTGCAGGCGTCCAGCTTGTTGATCTCCATATCCCGAAGCGTGACGAGCAGCTGCTCCTCCAGCTGACGTCGATGCGGCTCCGTCTCCGAGACACCCTGTGATGCGGGATGATGTGTATGACGTCAGGTAGGGGACACAAGACACGTATCCTAAGTAGGATTCGACTTATGCTAGAATCTAACGTCATCTGATGACATGTAAGACATTCTCCGTAGCAAACAGGAGCCTTCCAGCTGATAGTACTAGGCCGGCGTGAGGCCGGCACGTTTCCTAGGCACAGAAAGCATTCATTCAGAGGTCACAAATAAGATTCTACGGAATAACGACTCAAGGTAGGTAATTCGCCGGGACAGAGCCGACAGTGTCGTCCACCTTTTGACTACACCTTGACCCACAGTCAGAAGCACACAAACCACAGATAGCCGAGTGTCTCACCTGCGCGTCCAGCCGCTGCTGCAGTTCCCTCTTCAGCCGACTATCCCAGCAGTCCTACAGCTACCCTCCAGCTAACTGTCTTACCAGTTCCTGCAGTTCCCCCTTCAGCAGACTATCCTACGTCCTGTCCACCTCAACACTTTCCATTCAGTTCCCCCTCCAGCCGACCGTCTCACCTGAGCGTCCAGCTGCTGCAGCTGCCCCTCCAGCCGGCGCCGCTCTCCGTCCTGCCCATCTATGGTCCTGCGCATCTCGGCCACCTGCGCCGCCAGCTGCAGCTCCGTCTCAGAGGCCGCCGGCGCCGCCTTCTGCCCGGACAGCTGGTCGACGCTGGACGCGTAGTCCTCGTCCAGTCGTGTCAGGATCGGGTCGAGCACCTCCAGTCGGGAGCGCAGCTTCAGCAGCTGCTGGCGGACGTGCGCCGCCTCGGCCAGCTCAGAGTCGCTCGGCTGCTTGAGGAGAGGAATGACGAAGTGGAGTGTCAGGGACGTTTCAACGTTTTAACCACACGCAGCGCCCAGGAAGTTTAATAAGTCACTTATCAAAAAAGAAAGTAGAACGTCTAGTGCCTTCCCTTTTTAAGCGCATTTTTCAGAGCCACTTTTATTCTGTGAATTCTTAGTCCGTCGATAAATAACGGATTTTATCCATATTCAGGGCCTAATAACATTATCGAAAATGAGACACTCTACATTGCAACTAACCAATTTTGTCATTGAAGCTGACTTCTAAAAGAGGAAGTCCAATAAAGCTGCACCACCTACTGAAAACCACGTCTCGTCCCTCTTCCCTCTCACCTGTGGCGGGATGCTCTCCACCACCGGCGCCTCTCCACTCTGCTCCTGCGGCGTCTGCTCCACATCCTCTCCCCGTGCGCTCCTCTCTATCTGCTCCTTCCTAGCATTCAGCAACTGCTTCTTCCTCGCCAGCGCCGCGCGCAGGTTATGGATAGAATCCCCGCTGGCACTGGAGCCTGCCACACTGGCCAGCTCGGAGCCGGCAGAGCTGCCGTGTTGAGAGGCTCCGCCGGCCACTGTAGGTGCAGAGTCCCAGCTGTGTTCCGAGCCGGCAGCAGGCGAGTCGGGCCGGACTGGGACAGTCACTGGCGAGGAGGCCGGCCGACCGGACATCTCCTGCGGGTCGGTGGAGGGGCAGTGTTACTCAACGAAATAGAATGGAGAGAGAAAGACAGAGGGTTTGAGTGGAGAAGGGGGGGGGCGAGAGGGAGTGAGGGGAAGAGAGAGGGAGAATTGGAAGACAAACAAGACGAAACTGATCAGGAGACAGGAAATAAATAGCCAATAACCAACTGACGAAAGGGGGGGGGGGGAGTGCATTACTTGGCAAAACAATAAAACTGCAGCAGACAGCTATGAGCTAAACAAAAATGGTCACTCGCTACCTATCCCAGGACGGATGTAACAAATATCAGAGTGAAGCCCCCCCCCCCTGAGCCCCTCCCACATACACACACGTTAAACTCAGCGCCTCCACGGTACCTGTTTCTGTTGGACCATGCTGATGTCCGGCAGTGATAGGTCGCCGGCCGGGTCCGAGTGGGTGGAGGTGGCCGCGCGGCGCAGCACCTCCGGGCTGGGCTGGTGCGGGTCAGAGAGACGACTGACGCCGCTCTGGTGGCCCGACGAGCGGCTGTCACCGGCCGACGACGAACGCTGTGCGGGGAATGGACGACGTGGTCAGAATTACACGATAGTCACTTTTTGGAGAACTGTAACGGATACTTAAAAATAGGAATGAGGTGACGAAGATGGATAACAAAATTCAAGTGAAATGATATTAACAGCCGTACCGCATGAAATGAATGGTAAAACTCGATCAATAAATTCAAATAGCAAAAAGAGAAACGAGCGCAACAAATCAGTCGGGGAAACTATGGCAAAATCTGCTATTTTTAGCAGTCTGCTATTTTTGACAGAAATCTGCCAAAAATGGGTACGCATGTGACGTCATCGTACCCAAATATAGCAGATTTGGGTACGGCCCCATACAAAAGCAGATCTACACCCTAATTGAAGCAAATGCGCATCAAATGCCTGGCAGATTCATGATGAGAATAGTGCTGAGAGTGATCTCTGCTATTTTTGTTCAGATCCGACGATTTTCAAATTCATTATTTGAAAATAGTCGGATCTGAACAAAAATATCAGAGGACATTCTCAGCACTATTCTAATCATGAATCTGCCAGGCATTTGATGCGCATTTGCTTCAATTAGGGTGCAGATCTGCTTTTGTATGGGGCCGTACCCAAATCTGCTATATTTGGGTACGATGACGTCACATGCGTACCCATTTTTGGCAGATTTCTGTTAAAAATAGCAGACTGCTAAAAATAGCAGATTTTACCATAGTTTCCCCGACTGAAATGGGGCACATCTAAAAACTTAAACTAAAAACTTGGCAGGAAACAGTTACCCCAACAACCCGGTAGAGGCGGCAGCCTGCGGCAGCTGCTCCGCACGCCTCAAATCCTCTCGCATCCACTCACCATGGAGAGCTGCGTCAGCGTGCGTACATTCTGTTCCAGCTCGTCGATCTGCACGTTCTTATCGGAGAGGAGTCGTTCGACAAACTCGGGCAGGTTGTTCTCCCTCAGCTGGGCCATCAGCTCCTGGTGCTGCAGCTGGAACATAGCACAGACCAGGGGGACGTCAGAGAGGATAGACGAAAGAAAATGTGAGACCAGTATCCGCACAGCCACAACAGAGTTGCCTGCTAGAAAATGTTAGAGACATGAAATATTTATGCGCTCGACTTCGTGTCGAGGATGCATTACAGCCAGCCGCAGTTTTGAAGCTAAATGTCACACGCTTTTACAGCGCGTTCTAGGTGACCCGAGCATCGATGTGAGATCATAGACATAACAATGATAGATGCAGAGAACGTTTGATATCAGGTGCTATCGCCAAGCACTCACTGACCGCGAAGCTTTCCAAATTCCAACACCACCTTCCAAACCGTCCCCGACGCAGCGACTGTAAACAACCTACATCCTCGGTCGGGCTGGCTATCGGCGAGCGTCGGATGGCGTCCAACATATAGCTGCGCCGCTGGTCGGCGTTCAGACTCCAGGCGCGCTGGTCGGACAGACTGGCCGCCGAGCGCAGTCGGTTGGCCTGCTCGGCGAGCGGGCTGTCTCCCAGCTCCTGGCCGCCGCCGACCGGTAGCGCGCCGGATGCCACCGAACTCAGGTAGCGATGCCGCTCGTCGGCGGCACGCTCAGTCCAGCCGCGCGCGTCGGCAGATGATGACGACACCCACTGGCCGATCATGTTGAAGAGAGACTCGTGCTGGGGCGGCGGTGGTGGGTCCGGTTCGGGCATGGCGCGGGTGGAGGTTACAAAGACGAGATTCGAAGTTCGGAGAGACGATGATCTTTCGATGTCGACATCGCTAATTTTCTATTAAAATTTAGTTTATGTGAAATTTAGTACAGGGTATCGAATACATGATGCTTATAAATTTGACCATGCAATTGCAATAAGCGGTAAAACATTAAGAAAATATGTAATTCGTTGCGCGGCTTTCGAATACGTTGTGCAAAAATTGGAAAACAAATTGGCTCACAAATTAATTTGACCTCGTGACTGTATTTCGCGTGCTCTTCGTTTCACGGACAATGTCTTCAAATAAACTAAGCCGAAAGAAAACTGGTCCAGTCTGCAGCTTCGCTTTGTCATCCGGTAAACAATCCTAACATCGTTACCACCACAACGCTGTTTTGTGAGCTTTTCTGTCAGTGGTATGCGGGGAAATGACCGAAGCTGAAACCGACAACGGAGGCTGGCTTATTAGCTGATGACCTTTTCCGCTTCAGAACGTCTCAGTCTCACGTCCCGGCTGGAAACAAAAATCATTCCAGCAGCTAAAAAGGAAATTATTATCAACGAAGGCAAAATCGATGTGTGCTGTATCAAGCCGGATGCAGACCTTTTCAGCATCGTGATGGTCATGGGACCAGCTGATATTACCCACCACAGGGCAGTGCGTTCTGAGTCAGGAATCAGTTCAAAAACCCAATTCAGAACAGCGTTCACGAGTCCATCGGAATAAAATCCACGAATGCCTCAACCAGACACTGCTTAGCATGTCCCGTTGTTCCTTTTCTCCTCTTGCGAGACACGGCTGTTATTACGATAACGGACGTGGAGACTGTAAATGTTAGGTCACAACTAAGTCATACCGAAACTAACTGTCAGCACACAAACCTATGAAACCGACAGGACAAAACGGTTATTGTCCTAAGAGGGAGATGATCACTCCCACACACCAACGTACATCAGTAGTGCTGGCGACGGGCGGCCGCCGAATGGTCTCCGACATGAACCGCCTCCTCTCGCTCGGGTCCAGGCTCCAGGCGCGCTGGTCGGTCACACTATCCACCGATCTCATCCGGTTGGTCATTTTCACGGCGTGGCGCTCGCTGAACTCGTTCCCGTCTCCAGAGGTGAGCTGATCGGACACGACGCGTCCCATGTGCAGCCGACGCTCGTCGCCGCTCAGACCCCAGCCGCGCGGGTCGGACACCGACGAGGGGTTACGGAGTGCCAGGAGGTGGACGGAACGGCCGCTGCTAGGCGGCGGAGGCGGCGGCGAGGACGGCGGGGATGGAGACGCCATCTCGCCTGCTTGGTGGAGCGACGAGGGTCAATTCTTCAGGTTTTCTGGCGACGCTCTTGATGTGGGAGATGCATCATTCCGTACGAAAAATTTGATTTAGACATATTGGATCCTGAATGCGTTATGCTGACATGAGGGATACATGTGAAGAGCTCTTAAATTTGAATGAGAGACGCCCAAATTTCCTTATAACAAAAATTTACACCAAAATCTTAAAGCCGACAGGTCGACACCGCGCAGAAACTCGAAATACATGGCGAAAAGGATTGCCGCAGACAAACCGCCAATGGCACAAGAAAAGCAGCATTGACACAGATACTTCTCGCTCGTGCACTCTTCGTATTCATACCTCGGGAAAATGAATTGAGCCTGCCAACGCTGCCGACTTTGAAGTCAATCGAACACTCCGAAAGCGTTAACCACTCCCTATAATCATGGGCGTTTTTCTTCGTTTGTGCGATTGTTACTAATTCAGCATGTTTGGTTTCAAAATAAAGAGACAGAAAGCACCCGCAAAAAGCTTCGTTTTGGATACCCATGGGTCAACGGATATACCTATCTTGCTTTTACACATAAATACACACGGTGGAAAAATATGAGAGCATAAATCCTTCCATTCACTTGCGACGTTAGTCCCCGAAGACTCGTAGCTGGTATGTAATCCCGACACCCACCTGCAGTTCTCGATATTTGACCCGCAGTGTGCGCAGCTCGGCGGCGTCTCTGGGCGAGGCGGCCGGCGAGGTCCGTGGCGTCCTCTCCCTCTCCGTCTCCCTCTCCCGCTCCAGCCGGGCCAGCTCCGACTCTCGCACAATCAGCTTACGGCGCGTCTCGTCCAGCTGACAGGACAGGTCGGCCAGCTGCCGACGACAAACAGAGGGGGATGGTGTAAAAAAAAAACAGCCGTACACACTGAAATACACGTTTGGACGGTTAGAGGCTTCATGGACTTGAACAGTCACAGACAATATGGGGTGACAGTAGATGGATATCTAGAGCTAAAATGAAATTGTAGCAATGCCTGAAAAATAAAAAAAACAGTCCTCACACGTTGAGCCCTCACTAAAGCTTCCACAATGTAATCTCGCTTCTTCCGGGAGCTAAAATGTAGGTCACAATGACTACGTCTTATTTCTGGGCTCGAACTGAGTGGGAATCCCTAAAGAACTGCGGTTTAGGGATTCGGTAAAGAGCAATGACACAAGAAGTTCCGCTGTAATTTGGTTCGCACCTGTTTCTCCTTGGCCTTGGCCAGTTTGGCGGCCGAGTCGAGCTCTGCCTGCAGGTAGGCCAGCCGGGCGCGGCTGGGCTGGCCCGGGTCGGTGCCCACCTCCGCAGCCAGTCTGCTCCGCTCCAGGCGGGCGCGCAGAGCCGACAGCTGCAGCAGCTGGTCGGCCAGCTGCTGCTGCAGCTGCCCCCGCTCAGACACCAGGTCCTGGGGACGGTGGTCAGAAGTCGGCGGTCAGAGGGTGGTGGGAGTGGGAGGGAGTGCAAGGGAGGGAGCGTGCAGGGTGTTCAGATGAGGCACCTGTCAGCGTTGAATCATATTCACACGCATCTTTAAAGAAAATGTTACCTGGACAGGAAAGACACAAAAAAGGCAAACATAGCGATTGTTGCAACGAATTTTCCGGACTGATTTACAAATAAAGAGTCAGAAATTGCAAACACACGACCAACAACGAAAATACTGAGCGCATCAGCATCAAACTCGCGTATCTGCAACCTTCCAACCGTCTATATACCAATTTATCTCCTTCTCGCACTGTCCGCCGACTGACCTGACTCATCAGACCTTGCCCCTCCACCCGCCCTGCCTTGCCCCTCCCCCGTCCTGACTGACCTGCTGGCTGACCCTGGCACGAGTCAGGCCCCTGACCTCCCCGTCCTGACCTGTTGGCTGACCCTGGCACGAGTCAGGCCCCTGACCCCCTCCCCCTTCTGACCTGCTGGCTGACCCTGGCGCGGCTCAGCTCGGTCTCCAGGTGCCGTATCCGGGCCAGCGCCGCCTCCTCCACAGAGACCAGCCGCTCCAGTTTGTGTCGGAGCCCGGCCAGGTCCTCACCGGCCGGACACCTGGGACACACAGACAGCGGTGTCACCGGGTGGCGCGGGCGTTTAACCCTATTCCTGGCGGGGGGGGGGGGGGCCTCAGGAGCCCCCCCCCCCTGAGGTTTTTTGGTTATATCTTCCAAACGCGTTGAGCTAGGAAGCTCAAATTTTCTGACTTTTCCTAAAAGGCTTCTACGCAACATGTCTGAAAATTTTGAGTTGATCTGACCTCAGGTCAGGTCACCAGAGGCGGTTTGGTGACGCTACCTCAGAAAAGATTGCAATCACGCCAGAGCTAGAGTTTTTGACCGATCAATTTCTTCTCTTCAGGGTTTAGTTAGGGTACCAGTATGTGCAATTTGTATATCTCGGAATTTTGATATCGGTGACCTAAGGTCAGGTCAATTTCGCGACCTCCCCATTATAAGTCAATGGGGGGAAAATCAACTCCCTGTTTTTACCACTAAAACGGGTCGGAATGGCCCCATATACCATACATGACTTCATATACGATCAACCTTCACTACCTTGAGGTCTGTTTTGCTGTTGGGCAGCTGTGAGGTCATGTGACGTCATCAAAGGTCACCAAAGGTTTTTGGCCAATAACTCCGTACAGGAACAAGATACAGACGCGTGGATGGTCTCATTGTGTTCAGCTCGTCAAGACGCATCGAATGATATACATGATGACCTCGAGGTCACGTGACCTGAGGTCAACCTTTGACCTTGACCTTTCGAGGTCAACATATATATCATTCGATGCGGATTGACGAGAGGATCACGATGATGCCCTTAGTTTGTTCCTATCTTGACTAATTCGAAAGTTATTCGAGAAAAACTCTCTCCATATCTAGTGCCGCCATTTTGACTTTTTCGACCCCTGTGACGTCATCTTTGACCTGACCTGAAAATGACCTCAGTAAAAATTGTAGATCTTGGCCGTGCGTATCCGATGCCGTTTACCGCTTGTCGCTATCTTGCTTCGTTCTCGAGATCTCAGGGGGGGGCCGAATCGGCCCCCCCCCGCCAGTTTCTTGTCCCGGCGGAGCCCGCCAGGAATAGGGTTAACGGTCACGGGATAGTTACCGTGTCCCACAAGAAGATCAGATGTTACTGTGATAGCAGCCGTATATTAGAGGGATTGATAAAGGTCAATGCAAGCAGATCCTCTGGCTATAAAAATAAATCACATTCATGAAAACGAATAACTATTTGCGCAAGCATTCAATACTCCACCCAAAGCAAAGTCCTCTCCGTGGCCGAGTGGATAAAAGCGCCGGAATTCGACGCTTAGCCGGAAGTGAGAGCCCGGTTCAAGCACCGGTGCGGGCGGCCACATTAAGCTCCTACGTGTAATGGCGTGCGTGTCTGTGGCAGGGGCCGCACAGAAGCCAGGTAACGTGAGTGAGCGGAGGGGACCGTGTCCAGTCGTGAGGGCACGTTAAACGTTCGGACAAAATTCTGCCATACAACTGGAATTGCGCGATCGGGTGGTGGGGTCAGGGTCAGCACAACAAGCTATGCTTAGTGCAGGCTCTGATACCTCAAATCCGCCCATTCAGCCATTCGGACTAAATTTCTTAAAAAAGCAACTTCATCGATTTATTCATCACCAAGCATCTCTCTTTCCTTCCATCCCGTACCCACCCAGCTTCGTCCCATCACTTTTCATACATCCCGGCGCCGTGAACGATTATCAACACTCACTGCGTTAGGTCCTGTCGTGATCCGGCCGGTGACAGCGTCTCTGTCGCTGACGAGAAGCTGTTCTCGAGCGTCTCCACACGCTGGTCCACGTCCGCCTCCATACGAATGATCTGTGGACGGGCGAACGGACGCGGCGGGTGAGAGAACACGGTACGAGGGTAGTGGCGTCAGAGGGGAGGGCTGACATATTGTGCTCGACGGTAAGGAATGGGATTAGATTGGCGGTAAAAATGCATAGATGAGAACAAAATGGCGGCCCTGGTGGCGCAGTCGGGACCATACGAGCCCGTTGGAGGGAGGCCTGAATAAAAAAAAAGAACTTGATGACAATGTGCTATCTTGAAATTTAAAGCATGTGATATGAAAGATAAATAAGTCCTACGCTATGAAAAGCATAAAACTGAAGTTCTTTAGAAAACTTTCAAGTGTGCAACAGATGAACCACAGCAAACAATACAACACAATTATGCATCATAGCGGGTTGAAAACGCCGTCTGAAGAGGTTCATCTTTCCAACGCCTCCAGCCGCTCACCTGATCTCTCAGCTCCTGCAGCAGAGAGGGGCACACCGAGAGGGTGGTGGTGTCCTCACTGTCGGCAGTCGAGTTGAGGCGCGAGGGAGGCGCGGCGCCATCCGCTCCAGCCGGGTCCGGTCGGCCCGCGGCGCATCGACACTCGGACAACTGCGGACACAGACGAGAGGGGGCGGAACTTCAGACACATATAACTCCCGAGAACAACAGCGTGGGGACTTCCGTCCAACGTTAGTCAAACGTCCGGGGTATAACAGTGGAGAGCCCGGACTTCAGTCGAAGGAGACGGAACTCCGGAAAGATCCGAAACAGACAACACACGGCGCATGGGCCAGAGTAGCTCCCCAATCGGGAAGCACTTGGAGATCTTAGTTTCATGATTAGCTGATACTGCATGAGCAATGCATGGTACGTCTGTCTATGACCTACAGCGGCTACCACGCAGCTGCTGTTGGTTCGTACCTGCGCCTGGAGGCGCCTGCTGTGCGCCGTCTGCCGGCGTAGCTCCTCCCTGAGACGGTCGGTAGCGGCTCCACCCTCGGCTGCCCCCAGCTCGTCCACGTGAGACTCCAGAGAGCGGATGATGTCACGCAGGTCGTGGATCTGACGAACACAAGGGGAGATAGATATTCAGTCATCGCTAGAGATCATGTACATTCTTAAACTGTTCCGAGCAAAAGAAGCGGGAAGATGATCATTAGAAGCAAGACAAAAGCGACATAAACTGAAAATGTTTACGAATGAAATTTGACAATACGATTGCAAAAAAGCCTGTGTCCATCGCCAGCCCCATCTCACGGGCCTATGCGACTCTGGGCGTCAGTCTATTATGCGACTCCGTGCGCGTGTTGACAGTCTGTTCTCACCTTATTGACGGCTGCCTTCAGTTCGTCGCGTAGTCGGACCCTCTCCTGGTCTCCCTCGTGCGCGGCCGCCATCAGCTCAGCGTTCTGCGCCTCCACCGCCTCCAACTGGCAGGCGAGACCGGCGGGTCAGGGGTGTCAGAGGTGTCAGCGATGCCATGTGTCAAAGGCGTCAGGTGTCGGGAAAGTGTTTATGAGACGTTCCGGTCAATGATCAACGGCCGACACACTGTTCAATTATAACGCGGTAATTTGAGATGTTCACAAAAGAAACGATTTTACATACATAATACGTGGCAGTTATTTTGAGATACTAGCGGTACAATACGTTCAATCCCTGTGAACTTTACGCATTCCTCCACCCATGCATCAGCAATGTGCCTCCTAGCCCCCTCACGTCCATACAAATACCCTGCCTAACCGACGGGTCTACTGATCTACTTAGTCTCTCGCTCTCCCCAGACTGTCCTCCCTCTTCCCTACCTGTCTCCGTCGCAGCGCCTGCTCGTCTCTCTCCCTCTCTCGGGCCGCCACCAGTTCGGCCAGTCTCGCAGTCTCCCGCCCAAACTCGTCCCGCTCTGCCTCCCTCTCTGCTGTGACCTCGTCCAGAAAGGCGCGCGTGGAGCGCAGCTGCTTTTCGGCGGCCACCATCTGCCGGGAGGGAGACAGAGGCGTGGTGATGAGGTAGGTCACTGTCGGACTAAAGGCTAGTCAGTGCTGATAAGGCAACACACAATTGGACAAGTTTTTCAATGAACTTCACAATAGCAAGTTAAAAAGGTTTAAACACCGGGTCCCTACTCCCACTGACCTGCTGGCTGCTATTGTCTTCCATCTAAAAGAAAACAATCATTTCTTAAGCAAATCATTCAACACTTCCCTCCCATCGCTTGCATGTATTTGACACTATAATTGCCTTAGTTGATCATTTTACACCCCTCCTGTGACGTCTCATTCCGCACCTCCCTCCCACAACTGACCTGCTACTTGACGCCCTTTATCTCCCTACGCACCTGCTCTTTGACGTCCTCCACCTCCCGGTTACAATCCGCCACCATCTGGTCGCTCTGCGCAGTCAGTTCAGACAGCAGCGCCTCCAACTGGTGGACCCGGCTCAGCAGCAGACGCGAGTCGGCCGGGTCGGCGGGCGCAGAGAGCAGTGCCTCGGCTGGGGGTGACCAGAGCAGGTAGGTGGTTATATCAGGAGGTCTTAGCAGATACGACAGCCCAGACGGGTCGGAGAGGCCACGGAATGCTGATCTTCTGTACACCGTAAGAAAAACACCGGAAGCATCAACAAGGTAAGCATACCGCCCACGAAATAAATCAAACTAATTGTGGCTGCAAAGCATGCAGAGTCACATCAGGCGTCGTGACTCTGCATGACATTTAAGTCCCCGACCAGCCAGACACCAATTTATTCAGCAGCGACTCTCACCTGCCTCCCTGATACACTGCAGGGTCACCTCGGGCGGTGGCGGCGCCGGCTGTCCGGCCGGCCGGCTCTCCCCCAGCGCCTCCCGCTCCTCGCTCTGCGCTCTGTCCTCCAGGGCCGCTACCCTCTGTCTGGCCGCCGTCAGCTCAGCCGTCAGCCCCTCTACCCGCCGGTCCAGCTCCGCGGCCCGGCGCTCTGCCCTCTCCGCCCGCTCTGCCTCCCTCTCTGTCCTCTGATCCTGTCCGCCGGCCGCCGCTGCTGCCGCCGCCGCCTGGAGTCGAGCGGTGGCCTCCCGGACCGAGCGCTGTACTCGAGGTAGCTGGTGGCCCCGCTCCGCCCATAGACAAACAGCCTCGTCAGGAGCCAGAGCCTCCAGTACCATCCGGTCAGTGGCGTCAGCCTCTGGGTCTGCGGACACCCCGGCCGGAGGGGCGGGACCGTGCAGCCGCTCGGCGGTCTGGTAGTACTGGCAGAGGGCGCGCACCAGGCCGCCCAGACGCTGCAGCTGGTCGGCCTGCTCCTCCCTGTCGATGAGAGGAGAGAGGGATCCGTGTCGGTGTTGGGGTCTGATCTAACCGCGGTGGTAACAGGCTCATCATACGATTGGCTACAGTTTATCTACGCGTGCTTCTACAAACCTGCGATAACCTAACAGCTATAGCGCAGGTAAGGAAGGGTAAAATTGATTGTAAAAATCACGCAATCAAAAGCAGAACGACAAGTCCTGTCAAATCACGGTTAACTAAAAATGTCATAATTCAGTGAAGCTCTTCCTGCTCCGCGAAAAATGAGCTGCTATCAACTCGATTACCCAAATGATAAACGGAACGGATCCATGAGGGAGGCTTACCGAGTGATGAATCACTATAGTCACAAAGTTCAAGCCGTGGGCTGTAACTTTGAAGAAAGTAATTTTTGATCCATGGTCTCTGACTCAGTTATGAACTTTTAAGTTCGTTAATAGCAGAGATTAGTGAGAACTCAGCAATGTCATGTCAAGTCTCTGTCAAATTATAAGTTAACCAGCTGGCGGCTCAGTTTTTATGCACCAGCTTCTGCCACTCCCAACTGCCTTTACCAGCTCCAGCCCAGTCCTTCGGGTCTTTACGTAACAGCTCCAATCATTCATACTACGTGATAGCTCCAATCATTCATACCTGTAAGCAAAGCAGTACTAGCTCCAGATCTACTATTTTCATACTGCCAGCTCCACAGTTAACAGTTTTTATACAGCAGCCCCACACCCACCTGTCCTTGTGCGGTAGTTCCAGTCCTACTGTCTTATACAGCAGCTCCAATCTCAGTCCTACACAGCAGACCCACACCTACCTGTCCTTGTGCAGCAGCTCCAGCTCGTCTCTGGCCACCTCCACGGTAGCTCCGCCGCCGTGCTCCCCGGACGACCAGTCTGCGACTCCGTTCAGTCTGTCCCGCGCCTGCTCCAACTGGGGAGCGGCGGCCACCGCAGCGGGCGGTTAGATACGGCGGTGTTCGAAGACGCCGTGAGAGGAACAGCGTGTGTGAGAGGTACGGATCCAAAGCAGGAAATCTGGTAATGTTACGAGGTGTAGTTTTCCGACCATTTTCATATTTACCCTCGCGACCATTCTTTCTCGTATATCAATATCGACCCTCGCCGGCACAAAAGGAAAGCAAATTCCTACCAGACCACAACAATATTCATGACGTCACATGTCAGGCCACACGCAGCCAAAATCGTTTGACTTTGTAATATAGATGAGCATGGTTTTTCACGGAAGGTTTCAAAAAGACATGCATCCATTGATATCTAAGTCAAATCATGTACGGTGGACGTCATTTTAGGGATGCAACTCAGCCGTTGTATTTTTTTTTTAGCTACATTCACTTTGTGAACGCTGTTGAACAGCTCAATTCAGGGAGAGAGCCTATGTCCTACCTATGATCCATTCGGGACTGAGCCATTGAACACATCATACGACATGACACTCAACGTGTGTCAAATTGCCTGAGCTGAATGGACCTCGACCTAGACTTGTGCCGAACAAAAAGTATATTCTCACCGCGGCTATGAAAAGGTGTAAGTAATTATAGTTTTCCTCTCCATTACAAAAACTCACTTCGAAGAAATTGACGACCTCAGAAGCCATTAGTCGACCTGACAGTCTAAAATTGGGTACCTACCAGTACCGTTAGCCCTTTATCACGTAGCAAGCCATACCCTTGCTTTATGCTGATTTCCAGCTCAATTTCGGGTTAAACCCATCGGGGATCATACAGAGTGCCAAGGAAGCAGAAAGGCAAATGCCGGCGAGGGTCAAAAAGTGTCGTCACTTGAGCGATTTCCGATTTATCTTCACCTAACGCTTGCTCAGATCGACCACAACTTTTGCCGAGAGTAGCTAATTCAAGATATTTTAGTACAAGCCGTTGATATAGGTATTTCCCTTAGATCCAGACAAACGCCAATTGCACTTTTAAGCATGTATTGACAATGGCCATGCAACGGGCGTACAATACTAACTAGATGGGGGACAGTCTAGCAGCAAACTAAAATACGAAACGAATCTCACAAAATGCAAAAGAATCAAAACAAAAACAAAATAAATAACAGCAAAACAAGCAAAATCATCACCAGAAATTATAAAAGGCGCAATAAAAAGCACGGGCGACAGTGATAGATAGCCAAGAAGACAAGCATGCATTCATTAGTGGCACTGAGCAATGCGATGAGCAGAACGAGAGGAGAGTGGCAGGACCGATGATTGAGGAGTAAGATAAGTGATACTCTCTCGTCATAGACCTAGGAGAAAATCTTACACTACAACTGTATCAAATCGACCTTTTTCATTTCAATACTGGTATTTTATGTGATTCCGTCAAATCGAGAGGGAAATCGAATACAGAATATTGTATTATGTATATTGATACTCACGCCGCAAACTGATCAAAATTCCCGTCCCACACCACAAGCACCCACACAAAAAGAAATCTCTCAAAAGCAACTACACCCCAAAGCAAACGAAGCCGGCCCGCCGGCTTCCCTGTCCCTTTGGCAGACGCACATCATTCGTCAGCACCGTGTCAGTCTGTCACTGTCACCTGACACACCTGCATTAGGTGCAGACGCAGCCCGTCCAGCTCAAAGGTCAGCCCCTCACCGGCCGGACCGGGCCCGGCGGCCAGCCGCTCGCGCAGAGCCTCCACCTCGTCCGAGAGGGTGTCCTGGGCAGTGGTGGTAGCCCCAGAGGTTAGTAAGGCGGAGTACCTATGGACGGCAGCTCAGTCCCAGTGCCGCGGGACAGGGAAGGTGGGAGGGTGTCCTGAGTGGGCGGCGGTAGCCTCTGGAGTTAGTATAGCGGTTAAGGATGGAGGGAGGGTGTCCTGGGTGGGCGGCGGTAGTCCCAGTGGTTAGTATAGCGGACAGGGAGGGTGGGAGGGTAACCTGGGTGGGTAGCGGTAGCAGTCCTAGGGGTTAGGTGTTGGCAGGCCTTTGGCTAGCGGTAGCCCTCAGCAGTAAGTACAGCGGGAGATAAATGTTCAGCGGAAGGGAGGTTACTTGTTCTGGAAAAAGGTAACGGTTTAAGTAACAGCAGAACAATTATATGGAAGGTGAGAGGAGCTGCCTTCTATATTTCCTTGCTTTCATAAGCGTTTATTAGCTTTATAATTGGCAAAGCGAGTGCAGTGAGAAGCGTGTGTGGGTGCCGGATGTATGAACAAAGAGCGAACGGCCAACGTGTAAAGCGTATGGTGCGTGTTACTTTTTCAGAGGGCGTACCAGGCACCGGGCGCACAGCAAGGACCGTAAATCGTAACACTGACTAGACAATAAGAGAGACAGTCACAGATCACCCACAGAGGAAAACACGTCACAGGACAGGAAGGGAGAAGAATGCCCTATCATGTCTCGGGATCACCGACACAAAGTCAACGCTCGCTAAAACAAGAGAACTACGGAACAAATGACGGTTGCAAACCAGGAAATAACAATTACTCCAGTACAACAATACTTAACACCCTGTGATAATATTGAGCACAAAGACATTTAACGCACCAACCTCTAGCACACACATAACTCAGCTTCCATGGGGTCCATCACGAATCACATGTTAGTCACGCTATAAATTATAGTCCAGAGAGCGTGAAGCTACAGCACCACAGGCCTTCCTCTGCGCTATGCGGACGTTCCGCCTACCGTCCGGCGGACTCCGCCCTGTGCGGAACTTCCGCCTACCGTTCGGCGGACTCCGCCTGCGGGCGTACCTGCAGGTGTCGCTCCCGTCTAGAGGCGGCCTCCAGCTGTAGGCGGAGCTCTCGCTGCTGCCGCTCGTGGCGCGCCTCCAGCGCTCGCAGCGCCGCCTGGTGGGCAGACTCGAGCTCCGCCAGGGCGGCGCCACTGTCGTGCTGTAGCGTAGCCCGCAGCTGGGATACAGACGCGGCAGTCTCCTCGTCCAACGTGACTCCGGCCAATACCGCCTGGGGCAGGGGGAGAGTCACCGTGGGAAGGGGTGCAGTAATCGTGAGCGGGGAAGGGATCTCCGCCTGGGGCTGGGGGAGGGTCACCGAAGGAAGAGAGGAGTTAACGTTGAAAGGGCTAGGGCAGAGAACCAGGGGTACGGATAGGTCACTGCCCGGGGCAAGGATGGGGTCATCGAGGGAAGAGGAAGGTCACCAAGGTCAGGGTAGGGTCACGAGGGGTTAGGGTAGCGATGGACGAGGGCAGGGGAGGGTTACATTGCAAGGGGACCGGGAGTTTAAATGTCAATGGGAGTTAAAACGGGAGTTTAAATGTCAACGAAGGCCGGTCCAGGAACGATTTGCGTGCCTTGACTTGTCCAACTAAGCGGTAACACAAAACTTCGGCTGCCTTTGGGAACACTTTTAACAGCGTAGGACGATAATCACGGGAATCGGAGCAATGGTCACGGAGCACACAGTACGAAGTAAGGACAATTACAAACGAGATGAAAAGCGAATGTTCGGAGGGTTGGGTACGCAGCTGGTGGTCACTGAAAGCATTGTTTACATGTCCTTTAATTTAGATGGCATAACACGCATTTATTTATTTATTTATTTATTTAATTATTTATTTATTTATTTATTTATTACGATGAGGTAACTTGAAGCTGCATGCAAGAGGATTGGATGGAAAACGCCTGTCATGAGCCGTAGTGCGAGAGACACACGCCAGGTAGAAATTCACACAAGGTTATGTTATGAACTCTCAGAAATGACGACAAAAGCAGAAAAACAAAACGCATTCAAGCTCAGAGGGCCGCCACACCGGAACTCCTATAAACTATTGCTTGTGCTGAGACACGACGAACATGCAGGGGTTCGAAGGAAGGGAGTTGGTGAACTCATTAACCGACATTAGAGAATGCAGTAGAGGCCGCTGATGAAAAAAACACAGGACCTGACAGTCTGACAGATGCTAAGGCACCTGGCAATATATTCCTTGGTACCTGGCAAAAGGCAAATCATCCACGTTTACTTAGCCCCGACTATCACTCATGTCTCTTCCACACACAGTAATCTAGGGGAGCACCTCAGCTCGGCCGTGAAGCTCGCTCTGGCAGTCAGTTACATAAGATCACAGGACTAACCTCAGGAAAAGCTGTAACCCTGCCCAGTGCCCACGCTAATACCATCTCCACGCAAACGGTGCTTGGTGCAGTGCCGTGAGGTGACCGTGATGGGTGCAGTTCCACTTCTCACCCACTGGCAGCGAATAAAGCAACTTCCCTTCAGTCATCGCCAAAGTTCCACCCCATTTATCCCGCCTAGGTTCATTTAGGCAGCGTCCCTCATACCTCGCACCAACGGCGTCCGCAATCCTCTTCCACCAGTTTCCACACCTCGCCAGACCTAGCACCACGGTAGACCTTTAGCTATTCCATTCAAACCTGTCCTCTTATCCTGGCTTATCTCTTCTGCGTTTTGATTGAAACCCCACTCCAATTTACCCCTTATTCGCCCGCGAAAACCCGTCCCCAACCCAGCGTCGTCCAGCACCCCGGCCCTCTATGGGATTTCCATTAGTCCTGCCGTCCTCCTTCTGCTGCCTCACCTTAATCTGCGTCTCGTAGCCGGTGGCGAGCTCCAGTTTCCAGCGGGCCGCCTCCTGATCCCTCCTGATCTCGGCCTCGGCGCTCTGCGCGCGCAGCGTCACAAGCTCGCGCTCTGCCTGCGCCGCCTCGTCTCGCGCCGCCTGCTGGCGAGCCTCCAACTGGCGCATGGCGCGCTCCTGCTGGCGCGCGAACCGCTCCAGCGAGACGCGCTGCTGCTCCAGGAACGCCGCCTGGTGGCGGCGGCGGAAACTACTGATACCGGAGGCGGCCGTGCGCGCCACGGTGACGCCAGGGTAGCGAGAGGCCGTTGTAAGGATCTTACGAGGAAACCAGAGCTTGAGGAAGCTGATACCAATAATACTGGTGATTTCTCCATTAAAATATTATGTTACGAAGAAAAATATAAAATGGTGGCAGCATAAACCCCGCTGTCCTAGTGTGCTTGTGCAGACTGCAGAACAGCCTCCGCGGCTTACGCACCCATAATTACCCTCCCATCAGCAAAGTAGTTAAAACAACTGTTTAAATCATGCTACTGCTGCCAGATCCATGAGATAATGGAAGGCAATGCGCTTGAATTTGACAATCGATACAGCGTTGTAGCTCTTAAAATGCGATAAATGCATGAAAATAAAAATAAATCAGGCATATCATTTAAGTTTTTAGTACCTGTCCAAATCTAAGCCGTTCTGATTACATGCATAGCTCAAATGCCCCTGTTGTTTGTTATGACCCAGTAGTCACATAAAGCGCACTTGAATAAATAAAACATAACCAGCAATACGCCTTTAGAGGCAACGAACGAGCGAGCGCAATAGTGAGCCTTGTACATACGAGCGCACGTGCAATATGAGACCCCTTGGCTTATCAAGGTTATCATCTAGTCATCTTATCATCTAGTCAGTTTCTCACAGCGAGCTAGCTTTAGACGAAAATATCTGTCCAGCCATTATTCAGACTTAGAAGCGACCCTTGCACGTGCTAATGACAGCATCGACCCACCCGTGTAGACATATATAAATGCATCGTCTGGTGGTTGGCATCGACGGGCCACGTTTCAGCGCAATCGGCTCAGTCATTGCAGATTCAGAGGTACGGGAAGCGGAACAATTTTGACACCCCTTAGTTGGCACGTGCGTGACAGTCCCGCATGCATCGAAAGTGCCTGACCACAGTGTGGTTACCTACGACTACTGCGCTTGTCGGCCCGCTTCCTAAATGCCCCAGAGGAAGACATATCCCAACTCCCAGTATCCGTCCTACCCCACCTTACTTTCCCTCCCACCCATAGTCAACCCTACCACGGCCGCCGGCCCATACTGGGCGCCCATCGTCCAATCAGTCCCACCCCGAGGGTGTCGGAAAGCACCAGCACCGGTGATGGTGGGTGGGGTGTGTTCAGTGGTGATATGGTGCAGTTGGTGACGCCAGTGTAGTGGTAAAGACCTTCAGTCGTTTCACACGTTTTGGTGAATCCTGAATGACTAAAACTGCATGGACAGTGCTTGAATAAATCATGAACAAGCACGGATAAAGATTCCAGGATGATGTCAAGCTAGGTTTCAGGTTCGGAACACACAATGCTCGCGGTGGTGGTTAGTTCAAGCATGACCGATCACTGCAATAGCATCGTCAGGCATAATCGGTCACAAGCGCAATGCAGGGTTAGATCGGTAGCAGGCAGAACACGGGAACAGTGGCGAACACAGCACGCACCAGGCAAGCACGCGTGAGGCCCAGCGGTGGGTTACTCAATAAAGGTACTTAGCAAAAACAGCTACATTAAGTAGAAGGAAAGTAATTGACTAAGCGTTTAATTGAGGCATTGAAGAGAATAAACGAACAAGAGTTCTTGTATTTAAAGTTGGACAAAACCGTTAGGACCTAACAAAGCCAATGTCTTTTAAGACCTCACTGCTATAATTTCAGGTAAAAAGTAAATTTGGTGGTTTACTAGGGACCTACCCTGGGACTCCCACCACGCTGTCCTCTCAGCCACAAGCCAGTCGCTCGCCATAACTAACCTGTTCGCTCTCGTTCTGGCGTTTCATCTCGAACGAGAGGTTCTCCAGCTCCGCCAGTAGGGCCTGCCGACGACTGTCCTCTGTCTCCCCGGGAGATGGTGATCCCTCACCGGCACCAGCGTCACCGGCACCAGCGTCACCGGCGCCGTCACCACCACCGTGGCCGTCCCTGGGCCGGCTCGACTGTGGGGAGAGGCGGGCACGTCACTAGATAATACTCACTTCTCGGGATGGTAAGCGAGAGGGCAAAAGGAGCCAGGGAATAGTGGCGCTCTGTAGCACGCTACATCTTGAACATTTAACGTAGTATCTTTTCGGCACGGCTCGGTACGGCAGTTCCCCCCCCCCCCTCGCAGTCCGGTCACAGGCCTAGCCCTCCATTCACACACCCGTCGCTGCTACCGGGTGACGCACAGCTGAGCGGAGCGCTGCTGCTGCGCTCTCCTCCCCTCTCATTATTCACTACCCCCCCCCCGTCACCAGGCCCGCCATCCCCATTCAGCACTTTTCCCCAACTCCCTCAACGAGCACTGTCCGTGAGAATAGCCCGCAGTAGACACATCTGCGAGAAGACGATGCCGGTCACATCAGTACGAACCGCCGAGGCACAGCTGAGTCAACAAGCTACGTCAGAACTGCGGCCGGCGGCGGCGGCGAGCGAGCACGTTAAGGTACTCTGTCACTTGTCACGTACTCTGTCAGGTACCACAACAGCTGCGCCGCGCTGAGTCCCACGGAGGGAATGGCAAAACCAGAAAGATCCTACGGCAAGCAAAAACGCTGTAGTTCCAGAGGTCTTCGCAATGGGCAGCCGTTAAACTCTCATTACGACGCTCGCCTATGGAGACAGCTACCGCAGGATGAGCGATCCGAGCCTCCTCAAATAACGCTGGATCAGTAAGATATGTCAACAGATCATGGAGCAGTGTCAAGGATGGATGCCGGCTGGAGCACACAGCCTCCTTTGTCGGGCACAGCAACCCAGGGTGAGTGAACCTGGCAAAATAGCCGGGTGACCGACCTCACAATGGCCTCATGAGGTAGTTCCAGAGATCTCCGCAGAGGAAGAAGGCGCTGACTTACGGCCACGCCCCGGTACGGTGGGCGGAGCAAGAGTGACGTCACAGGGGCGTTGGCGGCAGACGAAACGGAAGGAAACAAAAGTTTGAATAAAATGAAATTGAAGAATCAAAATTAAAACTCGAAAATCACAAACCTTTCGTGGATTGTTTTATGTCAGCGATTACTAAAATGATAAAGCACTCAACACGAAGACGATTCGACGGCCAAAAATTGCAGGCACAGAGGAGCAAGGTGACTAAACAGGACAGAGGGCGCCATCTTACGGCCCCACCCACCAGAAGAAGGCAGAGGAAGATGACGTCGCAAGGGCGTGGCAGTCACCCCTCCCCCCCCCCCAACTATAAAAGGGTGCGCCACCCAACCAGAGGGAGAATCACAGTCGAGCAGCCGAGAGTCACAGTCTGCAGCCGGAGCCGGAGACGCCATCTGGAGGCCGCCGTCAGTCCGGGGTCACCCGCGAGAAGCCTCTTCAGTTCGAGTGATCAGAACCGAGGACAGTAGCCGACGCTTGTGACCACACTGAGAAGCGGAAGCGCAGAGAAACTCCAGAATGTGAGTGTTGTTGAAAAGTCTGCTCAATCCCAATCCTTGACCCCCCCCCCCCCTCTGCCCGGTTGCCGTGCCGTGACGACTGCCAAACATTTTCGGTTGCCATAAAATGCACTCTCAATTGGAATTGGAAAACTTAAATTACTTTGAGCTTATTGGTCCAGACACCCTAGTAGCATATTAGGATCTGAATTTCGAAGTCATGTCAGAGTCGCCAGCAAACCGTTATTGTCAGTTGGAGTTCACGATTAGGCCCAGAGCGAGAGGCTAAAATTTGAATAAGCAGCTCATGGTCACGAACGTTGAGATTGATGACTGGATGTGTGACAGCGTTGAAATGTCTTTGTCTTCGGTCAAGCTGGTTCGTTCGATTTATTATGGGCGATGGCCAGGTGCGTTTTGAGGTTGGAACGTTTGTGAAATTAAGGGTTTAGATTCGTGCTGTACTCACTAAAAGTTGCATTGCGAAATCATTGGTAATATTGCTGTAGGAATTAATTGCGAAGTCGAAATCAATTATAGAACAGGTAAATACGGTTGAAAGGGAATGTAATGTTTTAAGGTGGCGACTGATTCATGCGATCGATCTATGAATATGGCTATGAGTTATGGTTTCCGACAGATACGAATGCTTGAGCTTACGGCGGAATTTCTTCTGTTACTTAGGTGCAGAGTTGCGAGCAGTGGTTTGAGGTTGACGGTTTGACACTTAGCGACTTTAGATGGTCACTTTGCGTCATTGAAATTGCGAAATGTCGAGTAACAGGTAGATGTAGAATTGTTTGTGGTTAGAACTAATATGCGACTAATATAGGTGCCGATCGTTGTGCTTTTGTAGAATAAATACTAGAAAGGACCACCTTTGTTGGGGAACGATTAAATGGGACAGGAATTTAATTTAAAAAAAAACTTACGTTGAATGGAGCTGATGAGATGTCGAACAGGGAGATATTGCAGCGATATTTTACCAGATTCACACTCACTGACACATCCGGTGAATCCACCCGGCCAGAAGAGACAACACGCACGAGCATTGCACCGCGAGTGATGACGCGCCCATCGCGGCGTGGCCTTGACTGACTGTCGACGCGACGCCAGCCGGCGGCCAGTATCGTCGCTCTCGACGCGGGCGTTGAGCCGCCAGAGGGCGTAAAAAGCAGCCACAACAGGGGCAGTGGGTTAGCCGTAATTGGGGCGCGGGCGGTAGGTGAAGGTCATTGTATATAGGAGCATGGTTAGTTGTGGAAAGTTGCAACGGGGTAAGAACGTAAACAGTTAATGCATAATTTTAAATATGACATGCTATTTGATATTTAGGACTGCACTTCGTTTGATGCGCATTGTTTACTGCTAATAGGATGATTTAAAATAGATTCCCTATGAAAGGCTAGGGACCCTATGACAATATTCTGGCACTCTATAAAGATAATTTGTTTAGGTAACTAGTAGCCCATCAGAAGCTATCGAACGAGTTTCAAGGAGTCATTTCCGTTTGAGCATTCAGCAATTCACTATGATACGGTGGATCACAACCAGACGACAGATCGGTGCGTACTAATTGGTTCTAGATTATCTGATGAAATCAAGAGCGGTTCAAGGTCTGCTAGGATTGTTTACGAGAACTGATGATTAGGTTCACGCGTGCAGCAGCAATTAGGACTTGAGATTACGATTAGATGCGTTTCTGTTATTCGCGTTCTTGAGAGTTAGCGCCAATAATTACTCCACCAATATTGGCACAGGGCATTGTGAGGCACAGACGGCTTGTTTGCCCGTCTCCTATGGCGTAGCGTTTACCAGCATGACCGTATGAGACACAGATGCACTTCTCTAAACCCACGTCCAGACCGGAATAATAAGAGGGACACGCCGTCACGTACGCAGGGCATATGCACGTTTTCCGCCAGTGGTACCGGCCACTGTTAATTTTCCCGCTTAGGTAACACTGGGTGAGAAGGCAGTGAGAGGTTTCTACGGCAGGGGGAAGGGGAAGATTGGCACAGTGTGCAGTGGAGAGTAAGTTATGCCAAAGGCAAGAAGCCGAGGGTCAGGGGTGAGTCACCCAAAAGTGCGGATAAGGCGCGCCGTAGTGTCCCGAATAAGTCCTCATACTTATTTTGTAAAGGTACCTTAATCGGTACTGGACAGCCTCAGGGGAGGGAAGAATGTACTCCAGGACACGTAAGGCCTTGAAGAGTAAATCCCATGGTTTAAGGAGAGTTCCTGAGGAGAGTTCCAGGATATGAACGGTGGTCCCTGGGTCGTGAACGGGAATGTTACACGCGGACCGGAAGAGGGCATAGGTAATCTCTCCCGGTAGAGAGATAAGTCGGATATAAATCGTGTATGTGTGTACCATAAGTCTATCGGACGTGTAGTGAATCCCATAAATTAGTAGGGTGGATATTTGTGTATAATTATTCTGGACGGCCCTGCGATAAGTATCTTTGTCGCCGGTTAGCGGAGCATGCATATGGATTTCGGAAAGAGACATTTATCTCGCCGGGGAGACCATGGTTTGTAAGACGCCTAACACTATCGGAGGGAATTTCGGGGGCTACCAATTAAATTTGGGTGAATACATGAAATGTGAACGTAATGCGAGCAAGGATGTGAGAATGATGACGCATGAATCTTAGAGTAAGGCCGATAGGAATTTGGTAGAATTCGGTTATGGCAGTCGAACAAATGATTCTCGAGGGCAACTAAACTAGCAACGCTAATACGAACTAAGCGGGCAATTTTTGTAATGGGGAGGCCAGTGATATAGGAATGGGTGACTGGACGAATGATCACATTCAATTAATCAATGTAATTACCACCCATATGTTTGGCAGTGGTCATCGGGACTTCGAATGCCCTGTCCTTCACCTGCCCAACTGTGCTGCAAACCCAGCTGATCGGATCCCTCTATCCCTAATCCGAGCAGTGAAGACAGGGGTGTCGTTTTCCGAAAATGATTGGTAGTGCCCAAAGGCGGCGGCTGGCCATATATGACGGGGCTTACAAGGTAGGGTACCCCCAAATCTGCCTTTCTCATCGGATTTCGGCCACTTATTTTTCGCCCTGGTCATTGACAAGACTAACCGAAATCTAAAAGAAAACACAAAAAAAAACTTTGGAAATCTGGGTCCACACCGGACGCCATGCACAAAACGTGCAGTTATATAGGCAATAGTGTCGGAGGAATGCACGCCATTCTGAAAGAGGCCCACATCGACTTAAAAGGACGGCTGTGCTGAAAGCGGACAGGAACAGCTTTGAGGGCCCAAGCCGACTAAAAAAGACGGCTGCGGGGCCAGGAACGGTTTTGAAGACCCACGCCAATTGAAGGGTTCGACAACTAACGAGGACTGGAAACACAACGATAGTTATGTAGAAAGACCTGCTTGCCAAAATAAAATGATGACAGTACGAGGGGCGTTCAGAAAGCTACGGGCCCGACCATGAAGGAGTAGAGAGATACAGCATCGACTCATTAGACCAAAAAGTTCATTTATTCAAATAAACACCGTTAAGACAAACACATTTCGCGCAGCGCTTCGCGAGAG